GGTTTATTTTAACAAATTGTGAAACGATGGTGGTAACGTGACGATAATACAGACTCTGAAAGGTCTCGGTAGAAATGTTGAGAAATGTTTCCAAGGAAGGCTAATGAAGCTGCTGTATTATAAAACTAAGAAATTAGAAACAGGCTAGCAGATGCTTTCAATAGAACTCGGATTTTTCATTTGTTGTTTTTTTTCCTAAGAGGTCTAGATTTAGATTTGTGGGCCAGACCTCATTTGCGCCTCTGAAAAGAGATTTACTCAAAGCTTTCATTTTTTTCCCCCTCTGACTACGTATATGGCAGACGTATCTGAGTTGTGTGTTTTCCCCTTTCATTATAATGTAATGTCAGGCTTGTGACATGTGACAGCAGGTTTCATTCTCCACTTAATGAGAGGCTGCCAGTGCCTAGAGAAGTAAAAAGGAAGATTTATGTCATGTGTTTCACTAAAAAAGGAGAATGTTACTGACTTGGTAATAGCGAAGACTTGCTGTGCACCAGCCATTTCTGTGTGGCACTAAGTGTGGCCAGACTTGCTGTAACTTATCTGTGGGATAACTTTGTCTAGAACCCTCAGATACACAGTGATAAGAATGTGCTTTGTTAAGGATTTGGTAGTTGCTTTCATATGCATTTATTGGAGGTTTACCATGGATAAGACAAAATGATTTCAGAGGTTACAGACTTCTGCGTTCAGATAGCTTTGTAGTCCCAGAGGAACCTGTTATTGTCTCTTTCCCCTTTTTGCTTTGGTTTCCAGGAAGCTCAGAGGTAAAGTCAATACTTAAAACTTAATGCTTATCCTTGGTCTGGCGCAGTCACAAATTCAGTGGCATCCTTTAGGACCTCTTTTTCCTCTCTGTTAAACAGTCGTGTCAGTTCTCTGTGTGCATCTGAGATAAATGATGGGAAAAGGGTAGGGGAGGTAGGTAGAACCCTGATTATCATAAGTGGCAGAATGTGGTAAGTGCCTTATATTATAAAAGAAATAAAAATGCTTCAGCAGGTCAGATGAAGAAGAAAAACTGTATCTGGTACTGACATCTGGAGAGACTTCCTGGAGAGAGAAGGAGCCTTCAATATTGACTTGTTGGGTATCTCAGCAGGTGAAGTCTTGGCATGAGATGGTTGTGGCAGGTGGAGGGAACTGGCAAAGTGAAGGCACAGATGAGGGACCCTGGGGTGCCACCTGGGCTCACCCAGGTGAAGGATTGGGTGTCAGGGTCTATAGATGTACGAAAGAATCCTGAGCTTCTCAAACCTGAGGACCATGAGACTTGGCCATGAGGACCCCTAAGATTCAGCTTCTCCTCTAGGGCCCAGCTCCTCTCCATATACACCCTCGGAGTCGCTGTTTGCATGATTCACTTAGCAACTACCCTGAAACCTCTCAAGCCGGCGGGAGACAGCGCATGCCTTGACGTTCTGTTGCTTGTCTTTCCATCCAGGTTACAAGCGTCACCTGGAAACCCCGGACCTTACCCACCTGTCCATCTCCTGTGACCCATGCTGGCACCACACTTTCGATCAACCCCTACTCGACCTGTGCCTCAAAACGATTTTGTTTTGAAAAGCAGGTCAGAGAGGTTTGGAAACATCCCGTTTCCTTTACTTAGAGAAAAGCATCCTAATTCTACTTTGCAGATAAATCTTTAGACTTATCCTCCCTCGACTCCTGAACATGAGATCCAGCGGGTTATATGTTTAATAAAGAAGTAACAGATGTTCCTTTGGTGCGTTCTACTTTGAGTTAGTGGTATTTAAGAAGCAAATATTACTATGTTCTCTGCTCAGTAAACAGTATATTTAGCTCATAAGTTGTACAATAAAAATACTTGCATTAGAATTATGCATGTAAAAATGCGGTGAAACCCTGAAGCCTGTAGTGTGGTTAGTGGTGCTGTAGCATGTCCGCGTCCTGGTTTTGCAAACGTGCCATGGTTATGTAAGATGTTATCACTGGGGAAGCTGCATGAAGAGTATGCAGGAACAGTCTGTACTATTTTTGTGCATTCTTGTGAGTCTTAAATTATTTCAAATTTAAAAAGCTTTTTTTTTTTTTTTAAGCAAAATGGAATCAAAGAGATGATCTAGTCCAGTTGTTTTCCACTGTAATTTTAGCAGTCGTCCCCCTCTTTTGCCTTCTCCCACCCCCCTCCTCAGCAGCCCCAGGCACCTCCTGACAACCACAGGGCTCTTTGAAATACCATTTTAAAAATGCTGATCCAACCCAACACCTTCGGGTTCCAGATGAGGAAGTTGGGGCCCAAAGAAGTAAAATGCATGGTGGTTTAGTGGCTATGGATGGAAACACAGAGCCTGGGGAGTTTTTAAGGAGGAGTTGTTCTCTGCAAAGCATGAGTCACAGCTCCTTAGCCAACACTGTGGTTTCTTCTGTCAGACTAGGTGAGATTAATTAGACTGGAAACGAGTTTTCGTGCTCCTGCACTGCGTGTCTGTGATGCAGACAGCGCATGCGGTGGTTTGGGTTGACAGTTTCCCAAAATGCCACCTGTCCCGAAAGTCCAGCCATGGAGTATAGTGGACAGGAGGCACGGGACCGGAGAGGAAATCCCCTGCCTGCTGCCAGCTTGGCCTCCCCTCTGGCCACCTGCAGGGCTGAAGCTGATTAGTGTCCTGTTCCTTCCCGTTCAGGTTCAAGTCACTGAAGCATTTTGGGGAAACCGTGGGCACCTTGAACTTCACTTCCCAGGATAAAATAATAACAACAACAACAGTCTCTTCTCTTTGGGGATTTTCAGGTTGCAAAACCTTTCTCACAGGCTCCTCGAGTTGAGCCTCGCTCCCAGCCCATGGCATAGGCAGGCTAGTTTTATTTCTGCCTTACAAATAAGTGACGTGACTTTTCCAAGGTCGCAGGGTTTGTGTCAGGGCTAGGGTCAGATGCAGGTCTGGGATGTGCTCTTTCTGCAGGAAACTCTTGTTCTAAACAGAGATTTATTGTAAAGCACCTGCACGCATTTGACAATCAACAAACAGGCGGTGGTGTTATCACTGTCACTGTCATTGTAATTCATAGGCAGGATCCTTGTCCCCGTGTGTGATTTTGGGGTGTGAAGACTCCAAGACCTGGGGGCTCTCCGGACTTGGACGGGAGGTGGAAGCGATGGTTTCCTCTTCCTACACCTCCAAACGTTTGGAGCCTGAAGGTGCCATATGGCTGCTGGATGAGTAAGGCTTAGGTTTTCCTGAAGAGCGAAGCAAGTTGCCCGTGTGCCACGTCAGTAGAGATCTGTGTGACAACCAAGCCTCCCTGGGGCCGCCCGGCGCGCATGCTCCACAGGGCTCTGTGTGAGCTGCCATTCTTTATTTGCTCAGTGCCGGTGGTGGATGCCTCGTTTCTGCAGGGAAAACTGGCTGCTTCCTTTCCCCTCGAGTGTTCTCTGCCCCCCACGTTGTACGACACACCCTTTCCTGTCAGTGTGGGTGCTTGTGATTGGTGCTAACGCCGGCCCGCCCCCTCAGCATTCTGCCGAGTGTCCTGGGCTGTCTGGGACATCGGTGGACGTCTTCAGCAGTTGGATGTCTGACTTCAGACCGTAGTCAAGGCTCCTTTCTGTGAAAAACAATCTCTTAAGGAAGATGTTGGTTTTTCCTGCCCTGAGGGAGACACTTAGGAGGTAAACTGGTGACCTGCCCCCAAGACTGTTGTTAATCATCCGCACATGGATTCACCCAGCACCTGGAGGTGCTTTCTAAACCGCAGTTGAGTGACAGGAAGCTCCCTTGTTCTACAGCAGCTGCCAGCCTTAGAATGACCTGCAAGGCCTGTGAAAACACAGGCGGGAGGTCCCACCCCAGGGTTCCTGATTCACTTGGTCTGGGAAAGGGCTAAATAGTTTGCATTTCCAACAAGCCCCAGGTGACCTGAATGCCTTGCCCAGGACCATACTCCTGGGATGAGAATCCTGCGTTGGTCAAATCCCAGGGCTGACACTCATCGGCCATGTGACTTTGGGAAGGTCATTAACATCTCTGTAAAAGGAAGATAATTGTACAGTGAAAAATAGGGAGCAATGCTCACTTTTTATCTAATTTGGGTGGTGCATACCTGTTTGGCTTACTATCCTTTATACTTCTCTGTGTGATTGAAATATTTCAGAATTTTCAAATCTGTGTCTTTAGAAAGTAATCACAATGACTCATTGGCATCTATATGGCTTAGGTTTTAGGTTCCAAAGTCAATCAAAATGTGAATGACCTTATAAAGTCAAAATCACCTTTGGAATTCCTTTAAATCACCAGCACCCGGGGCCTTAGAAAGTTAGAAGCCAAGAATATCCTACCCTGTGTCTCTCTGCATTTGCATTGGACTGCTAAAGGATAGCTCAAGCTTAACACGCCTAACAGAGAGCTCTGGACCGCCTGCCCTTCCCCAAACCCTGCTCTTCTGTGGCCTTTCCTGATTCAGTTGGTGGCAGCTCTGTGTTGACAGCTGCTCAGGCCACAAAGACTGGTTTGGGAGGAAAAGTTTTAATAAGGATGGGTCCTCTTATGTACATGTTGAGTGTGAAATTGTTCTACAGTTCGGATAGAACATACAGATCTGTTAGCTAGCCGCCTTCCCCTCGTCGTACGTATTAGAAAACGGAGGCCCCAGAAGCAAAGGTTACCTGCTCTTTCTGCCTGGCACCTACCTGCCTAAGGCATTCTTCTAAGCATTTTACAAGGATTCACTCATTTTGTCCTTATAACAACCACATTAAGACAGGCGCTGTTAATGTCTCAGTTCGCAGATGAGGCGGAGAGGATAAAGAACTTGTCAAAGGCCATGCTTCTGGGAGGGGCAGCAGAGCTGGAATCTGAACCCACCTGACTCCAGAGTCACTTCCACCTGCTGTGGGAATCCAGAGAACAGTCTGCTGTTACTGAGCCTGGACGTGGCAGTGGCAGTGGCGCTGGCAGAGCCTGAGCTTGGCTTCGTTCAGAAACGTGGCCTTTCCTGGACTGGCATGAGCATTGTGCTTCTTCTCTTCCCAGGACCCCAGGAGCAAGCACAAGTTCAAAATCCACACCTATGGGAGCCCCACCTTCTGCGATCACTGCGGGTCACTGCTGTACGGGCTTATCCATCAGGGGATGAAATGTGACAGTAAGTAAGTTTTCTTTTCCAGTTCGCAGTGAGGCTCCTCGCCTCATGGCCAGGGTTTACTGAGCCCTGAAGGTTGAGTACCTTTCCAGCACCAACTCGTCAATAGAATGAGTTCAGATAGATGCCAGACGGAAAAAGGGTAGAATCTTCCACTGTTGAAGTTCTGGTTTATTAAACTACTTAATTGATGGATTATGAACAGACCAAAAAAAGCCTCAATTTATAAAGGAAGTTGGTGGGTGCTGTTGCATATGTATATATATATTTTTTTTTAGTGGTAGAAATCTTCGATCACTGTAAACTACAGGCTGGTCACAGCCCAGAGAAGGCTCCCACCTCCAGATTCCACATTTGGTTAGGCTTCAAAATAAGCTAAGCAACCGTAGTCATTATCTTCCTTGTCTCTAATTAGTGGGTAGACTGTGGAAAAATCCAGTAGGCTCTCCTTAAAACTAAAACCAAAGTGAACATAAATAGCATCTTACTTCAGTTCATTCACCCTGTGTGTTTATGGACAGATCAAATTTGTATTAGTCCCGTTCGAGGGGCAATCGTTGAGGAACACTGGCAGGGAAGACATCGGCCCACTACGTTCTGTGTGTGTCTCTACCAAACACCAGGAAGAAAGGAAAGAAAAACATCTATGAAAACTCTTTGCTTCGATAATTCTTAAATTATCAGATTCTCCAGGCTGTTTGTTTAAATGGAAGTGTGTGCTTTTAGGACATGAAAAGGTAATTACCGAGCTTGTCTATTATAAAAACTATAATAGACAGGGAGGCATTTGGAAACTTACGCATATTGTCATTCATGAATAACAACTATAATGGCCACAGTCTTTGTGTTTGTATTCTATGTGGAGCAAACACAGTATATAAAAGTCAATGTATTTGGACCTTATAGAGGAGGTGCAGAGTTTCTCAGAACATACGGATTCTTCACTTTACACAGCCGTACAGTTGAACAACTTACCAAAACCTTTGTCACCATCCAGGCCGGTGGCCGTCTGTGCTTCAGGAAACCCTAGGATTCCAAAGACGTGGTTTTCGGGGGCTCTGCAAGGGCTGATTCCAAGTGCATTTGTAAATAACTTTTAAAGGTTCGAGAACTTGGAACACAAATGAACATTCGAGTGTGTCGCATACCCAACATTGACGGCGCTAGAGAGGACTCTGGAAAGGTTCCACTGCCGGCTTCTGGGCTGGGCAGCACTTGGACTCAGGTTTCTCTTGCCATAGCCGCTTCACGGAGGAGTCTGCCGGGAGCGTGAAGCGTGCTGGTAAGCGCCGTACCTGTTTGCGTAGACTCTTCCTTATGAATCAGGAGTTTTGGGCGCCAAACAACTTTAACAAAATCCAGACACGAGACGTGGAGGCTGGCCTGAGACAACAACGAACATCCCTAACAGCTGGTTTCAGAGTTGTGTTTGGATCAGAGGGCTTTCCTGGTGATCCTTGAATGTCTTTATAATAAGTACAGGGTATAAATTTGAACTTATTAACTGAGTTTATGCTAATAAAACAACACTCATCTGGTTTATATATTAGGATTCTGCTTTAGATTTTGTTTGAAAAACAGCTTCCACTACTTAAAAAATTTTGAAAACAACTGACCTGAACCAGTACTGTTTTGTTTTGTTTTAAACTCTTCCTTGGAGTCTTAGGGCTTCTGGGGCTGTCGCCCTGTTCCTTCCTGGGAGGAAGAGGAGAACTAGCAAATGGGTACCAGAACCCCAGCCCCTACATTAACTCCCGTGGAGCAGCAGGCTCTTCCTGGGCCCTTACGCGTTGTACAGTTGCAGTCCTGTCTATAGATCTGCGGTCCCCATGCTCCTGGCTGCAGACCGGCACTGGTCAGTGGCCTGTTAGGAACCAGGCTGCACAGCAGGAGGGCGAGCAAGCGGAGCTTCATCTGTATTTCTAGCCTCTCCCCATCGCTCCCATCACTGCATAAGCTCCACTTGTCAGATCAGCAGCAGCATTGGATTGTTATAGGAGCACGACCCCTACTGTAAACTGTGCATGCCAGGGATCTAGGTTGCACATTCCTTATGAGAATCTAATGCCTGATGATCTGTGTGGAGCTGAGGTGGTGATACTAGCAGTGGGGAGCAGCTGCAAATACAGATTATCACTAGCAGTGAGCTTTGACCACACAATAAATGTAATGCACTTGAATCATCCCGAAACCATCCCTCTCCTATCCATGGAACAGTTGTCTTCCATGAAACCTGTCCCTGGTGCCAAAAGGGTTGGGGGATTGATGGAGTAGGTAATTCCACTTAGCAGTAGGGGCGAGAGGTGTTAGCAGTAACTTATGTAGGCCAACCTCTTAATCTGTAGGGTAGGAAATGGAACCAGAAGAGAGCAGGTGAGTTCTCAAGATACAAAAGGCATTTAACAGTGGAGCTGAGACAAGAGCACAACCCAGTTACCTTTCACCTCCAGCCTTCCCCCTAACACCCATTGCCCACATAACTTTCCAGAGGCTCTGGCATTTGTTGCCTTTAAATTGCAAATTGTGTCCAGACTCATAAAGATAAGACCTAGTTAACATAAGTTACATGCATAACACAACTTTTCAAGAGCCCTCCTATTGGCTAAATGAAGGTACAGGATTTTGAACAATTAACTTTGGAAATAGAAGCCCAACACAATCCACATCTGTGAATCAGCTCATTGCTTTTTCCTTGCCATGTCCATTATCCTGCTTTCAGTGTTTAATCACAGCAAATATACATTATTCATGATGCTTTTTGCAATTTCCTTCGGCGTGTTAAAATTAAACATTCACGATGGAATGAGTAGGAAGGCTCCACCTCGAAGGTTGCAGAATGACCTCATTGCACTCCCGGCCAGGATTTACGAGGCTGCCGGTGGCCGTCCTTCCTCCTGGAAGCGTAAAGGTGCAAGGACGACAGGCCTGGAACGCACACACACAGTCTTCTGTTTATATCCAGTGCACAGGATTCTTTTCAGGGTTTCCTTGGTTCATTGCAACAAGACTGATCTTTTTTTATCCTCCCCCGCCTCGCCCACGTGATGTCAGCCGTAAGGAATGGCTTATCATGCCGGGCGTGTATTTGTTTTACTTGGAATATTATTTAAATATTTGAAGACAGGTTTAAAATATCAAACACAAGTTCTTTGGGAAGGAAAAACAAAACAAAGGCAACGTACTGAAACCTTCTTGAAAATACGGGGTTAGCCGAGGAAAGGGAAATTTTATGAATTTCCTATACTCAACCCACAGGTTTTTTTTTTTTTACTCTTTCTCAGTGGTGAGCTCAGAAAGGCATAAGGAATTCTTTGGCAGAAAGTATCCTTTGTTTTTAAAATGTGCATATTTTCCGCCTCTGTGCATAAAATATTAATTAGTCCGAGCTCTGTACACAGTTACCTGTGTGAATTTTGTATACTGTTTTTAATATTTGAAACAGTCCCTGAGGGCCAACCCTGGGTAGTTTGCTTCGGTTTAAGACTGAACCAATATGGTGTGGGTATTTTAGGGATATTGTCACTCACATCAAGCCTGTGCTGTAGGGACATCTGCTAGCAGTTCTTTATGTCACCAAAAACATTATAACAAAGTATTGAGCTGGGGGGGTAACTCGTTTTCACTTCTGCTCGTTCACCAAAACACTGAGGGAGTGACGGCTGGAGTCCATATGCTCATCTCGCCCTTTGCTTCCCTCATTCACAGCCTGCGACATGAATGTTCACAAGCAGTGCGTAATCAACGTCCCCAGCCTCTGTGGAATGGATCACACGGAGAAGAGGGGGCGGATTTACCTGAAGGCTGAGGTCACCGATGAGAAGCTTCACGTCACGGGTAAGGCAGGCTCGTCCGGGAGCAGCAGTGTGGACGGGCATGGGGACAAAGGTCCAGCTGAAGTGGGGGCTGGGCTGGAGGTGGAACCATCACGGCCTCTGAGCCCCGTGGATGTGCATTAAAGGACCCCCCAGGAGGCCGGTGTGCACACCTGCATTTCCAAATACTCAATGTCATACAAAGTCACAACCACCCTGTGGTCTGGGCTATTTTGACAGCATGGCCAGTGTATTTTCCTCCCAGTGACAGGGGGAACAGGGAAGCCAATCAATCAAAATGCTGCTGGAGAGAGCGGAACTGGGGCGAGGGGAGGGGATGGATGGATGATCCAGGTGTTGGGTGGCATCGGGCTTCGACAGCCTGATAAATGCACCATAGCAACTGCCGTCGCGTGCCTGTGCTTCTTTCTGTGTCAGGTGTGGTGTCAGGAACTTCACGTAGATTGATTGTTTTGTCCTCACAACTGTTCTGGAAAACAGTTAGGATTATTTGCCTCATTTTCCAAAAGAGGAAACTGAGGCACAGAGACATTGGGAACTTGTAGTGTTGCAGTTATTAATTGAGGAGCCAGGATTGCGATCAAGACATTTGACTCCAGATCTCGTGCTGGTAATTATCACCCCCGCTACAAACAGCCGGCCCCGGGACCGAATTCCCTCCCGGGGCTGTGTCCGGCTGGGTTCTGCCACCGCCTGGCTCTCCCACCAAACCCGCCTTAGGTGCGTCGGCACAATCAAGTCATCCTGGAGTCGGCCGGTCCTAGGCCCGATCCTGTGTCCTCAGGATGACTTGGCCTCTCTGTGCTGTGACCTACTTCACATTGATTTATGGTTTACACTTAGACTCAGCCTTGTCTCCTCGCTCGTGGGGCTTCCCTTGTGGACCAGCCACCTACCACGCTCTCGACGGGGGCATTCGCTTTCACCCGTTTGTACTTAGGAATCGGAAGCTTTCATGACCATGGACAGAAGGACTCTAATGTTATTTATTTGTGGGTAACAGAAGATAGAAGAAAGGCTGGAAGGGTCTGTTGAAGAAAAAAGGGGAGGGGAGCATTTGAGAGATACTTGCTTTTGGAAACATCCTCACATTTTTTTTTTCCCTTTGAAAACTAAGCAAATGTTCTACCCAGGGCTGTCCTCCCAGGTAAGAATTCAGGGAACTCCAAAACGAAGGATTCTGGGGTATTGCTGGGAGAGGGGATGCGGTTTGTCCCTGGATAACTTAGGCAACAAGCCAACTTTAGCTGCTGGTGCAGATGGAATTGGGAATGGAATCCATGTCAGAGACCAGAATCCTTTTAGATTTTTTGTGTTTTAGAGAAGTTCCTTTATTTACTCCGCATCCCGCTGGCCGCTCCCTTGCACGTGGGGCTGTGGCTGTCCCCTGCATTTCCCTTTGACAGAGCTGGTGCCCTCGTCTCTGCCGGCAGCCAGGGCCACTCTGACCGGGCACCAACATTCTCTGCCTCAAGGGAAGTGGAGCTACTCATCTTGGGTCACCAGCTTGGCCATGAGAACGTTTGCAACGCGACAGCCTTACTCTTGTTCCTCTCTCTTGTCCACTGAGGCTCCTGCATTGTCAAAACTACTTACTGGGAGTAGGGAGCATGCAGTTTGGGAGAAAATTACGATAAAACATAGTCTCAGTAGGTGGTAAGGGATTATGGAGCATGAAGTGGAATGCCTGTTGGCCAAACATTTCTATGCTTTTTCTTTATAGCTGCCATTGCTGGCAGTAGAGTAGACATCACAGGTGAATAGCCACAGTTTAATTATGAGGTTAACATGTGGCACCTGGTGGCTCACCATAAGGTAAGGATGCCTGGGCAGAGTTATTAAATGTTTAGCTTGCATTTGTTGTGTCCTGGTGTAAAGCAAAACCCACACTGTGCGTGCTGGACTTGCCGCTTGCCTTCCTCCGTAATAAAAGCAGCAACCACATGGTGCTGCCTGAATCTTCCAGTCTCTTCTTTAGCCCCTCAAGCCTTGCCATGTAAAGCCGCACAGAGGGGCACAGATGCCCTAGCCGGGTGGCACAAGGTACACAGGCAGCAGAGGGAGGCCAGGTTCCATCATGCCAGAGCTCCCGTCATGCTCATGGCTCCACTGTTGTCAGGAGTTGAACTTGACTCACGGTTGTAGAATCATCTTGAGGGACTGTATTTCAGTGAGTTGGGCATGGAGTTTGTACACATGGAAACCACCCAGTGTAACCTACAGTAACCATCTCGGTCAAATCTCTTGAGAATTAGTTTTTTTGTTTTGTTTTGTTTTTGAGACAGCGTCTCGCTTTGTTGCCCAGGCTAGAGTGAGTGCCGTGGCATCAGCCTAGCTCACAGCAACCTCAAACTCCTGGGCTCAAGCAATCCTTCTGCCTCAGCCTCCCGAGTAGCTGGGACTATAGGCATGCACCACCATGCCCGGCTAATTTTTTCTATATATATTAGTTGGCCAATTAATTTCTTTCTATTTATAGTAGAGACGGGTCTCGCTCTTGCTCAGGCTGGTTTCGAACTCCTGACTTCGAGTAATCCACCTGCCTCGGCCTCCCAGAGAGCTGGGATTACAGGCGTGAGCCACCGCACCCGGCCGAGAATTAGTTTTAATATTTTTGTAGCAATAAAACTCTACTCTAGGAATGTGAATTCAGCAATGGTTTCACAATAGAAGTGTCTTATTCCATTCAGGCCATTATAACAAATTACCTTAGACTGGGCAATTTATAAATAACAGGAGTTTATTTCTCATCGTTCCGGAGACTGGGAGGATCAGGATGAAGGCACCAGCAGATCCAGTGTCCAGTGAAGGCTGCTGTCTGCCTCGAGGGTGTCTCCTTGACTGTGTCCTCACACGGTGGTGCTGCTGCCCACGCAGCAGCCAGTGTGCTGGGTCAGCAGGTGTTACGTTATCGAAAGAGTCTATATTCCGAATGCAGACTCTAAGTGGGGAGACAGGAGAAACTTCTCAAATCTGCCTCCCTGAGAACTTGGAAGATGAGGTTTTTAATGATAGTTTGGTAGGCAACGGATTAAGCAATTAGGTTTGTTAATTGGGGCAAAATTATAGGGATATAGAAGCAAGTTGCTCCAATCCCTGGGGTCACAGTTCCAGTTGAGTTGATTTCTTGGTACGGGAGGCTCATCTGGGTGGGCCAATCAATCCACTGGAATGTGGGGCCTGGAAGATACATTAAATACTACCTTTAGGTTTCAAAAAGGTGATGTTATCTGCAGAGAAAGTTAAGAATCTTTACGGACACCAGCTGTGTGGCTCTGGAGTGGCAATTATAGAGTAGCAAACGGGGGTGGCTACTAATCATTATCGTTGTTATGTATCTAGGCCACTACCACTCGCCTTATATCCCGTTATTGAAGGGCAGCTTCAGTAGAAGGAGCAAACATGCTTTCTGCAATCTCTCTTATCAGGGCACTAATCCTATTCATGAGGGCAGAGCCCTCATCAATCATTTCCCGAAGGCCCCACCTCCTAATACTATCATATCAGGGATTAAGTTTCAATTTATGAATTATGAAGTGACACCAACGTTCAGACCAGGGGTCATCAAACTACGGCCCGTGGGCCACATGCGGCCCGCTGAGGACATTTATCTGGCCCGCCGGGTGTTTTTGCCTCCGCTGCCTGTCCTGCTTAGCAGCCGACTCGTCCCGGGCCCACAGTGCGCTCGTGTGGAATGTGCGCCGCACTCTCCAACGGCCCTCCAACAGTCTGAGGGACAGTGAACTGGCCCCCTGTTTAAAAAGTTTGAGGACCCCTGGTTCAGACCATAGCGGATAACAGTTACTGACTGCTTTGCACAAAAGGGCCCCTTTCTCAGTACTTTACACAGCTAACTTAAATCTGTGAGCACTGCTTACTTTATTATGAAGAAAATGAGGCACAAAGAAGTGAACTAACCCAAAGTCACACAGATGGTCAATTTGATGGTTAAATATTTAAATGGTGGAAATAGAAGATATTTTAATGACAGTATCAATAAGAATTGGAGTCTTTTTTTAAAATACCGTTACATGTGTGAAGAGAATCCAAGCCTAAGTATAGAAAGTAAAATTCAAGAAAATAATTAATAATCATATTTTTAAAATTTTAAAGTAATTTAAGATTTTCTGAAAAGTCACAAGAGTACAGAGTACACACTTCACCCAGAGAGCCCTGTGTTATAACATCCTTGCATAGCCATAGTTTCAGTTTCAAAGTAATCACATTTTTAAAGAGTACCTGATAGAGATTTGTGAAAAACAGGTTACCTGTGTTAGTCACTCGGAATTGTATTAAAGAGCCAAAGAGAAGACATCAGATTTCTCTAATGCCAGTATAAAAGGACTGCAAGTGATACTGAGCAAAGCCCCTTTGGAGCAGGACCTGCCGGTGGCAGCTGGCATCCTCCCCACCCCCCATTACCTTCCCGCACCTCCTCCCAAACACACAGTTCAGGCACGAGATTGTTTTTGATAACAAGAGTTGCCATTTATTGAGTGCTTGCTGTTCACAGCACTGGGCCTTTCTTTGCTCAGAGCTCTTTATTTTTTTTTTATTTCATTGACTCTCCAATCTCAGGAAGTAGGTGCTTTAATTGTCCTCAATTTCGAGATGAGCAGAGGAGCTGAGAGACGGGGAGGCTTGCTGCAGGTTACAGGGCAGAGAGTAGCACAGCTCCAGCCCGGCGCTGGCTCCCACGCCCTTGCTGTCAATGCCCGAGCTGTGAATGTCCCACAGCTCTTTTATTAATTAAAGAGTCTCCTTTTCAGCAAACAGTAAAGCCATAAATATTTGCCGAAACCACAGTCAGCGCTCCACGAGGTTCTTTGAAGTTACAGAAAGTCCAAACATGGGACTTTGAACCAGGGGAGCAACAAGTTGCATGTGAAAGGGCATAAAGAACAATCCAAGTCCATAGATACATAATTCAGTGCCAAATTGCATGGTGACCATGTGGTTACACTGTTGGGGCGAAGGGAAAACTTCCCCCAAATCGACTCA